TGTTCTACTCTGTGTCAGAATTACAAGAGCATCTACGAGTATGCAGAACGGGGAAAATGCCAACAAAGCCAGGAAGCAGGACTGGCTGCATAATTTGTGAGGCCTAATGCCAAATGAAAATGCTAAGTCCCTTGTTCAAAAGTCTTACAAATTTTAAGGTGGCTAGAGTAGAGAATTTTACTAAGTGTGAAGCTGTTCTGAGTACAGGAATCAGTTTGACCACACAGACTACCCTCCTATGAAGCCAGCCCTACAAGGAATCTAACATCTTCTCATCAGCTCCACAATGTGTTCCAAAATACATATTTAGTCTATGTTACTGCGAGATTTCTCTCACTCTCAACTAGACTGTGACATTCTAGGTCTACCGTGCGCTTACTATACCTCTTCACCTTGAACTGCCCGAGATCCAGCCTCCACCATCCACGAGAAAAGTCACTGACCTCTCCAAATATCTCAGTAATCTAAGCTACCCCTTATCTATCAGGCTCAAAATGTGCCTTCATCAGTCCTTTTAGGGTATAAACTTTGTCCCCACAACTCTGCCTATGGTTCTGTACATATCAGAAGGTCCCATTCTCTGGTTTGCCTCATTTTATAAAGAGATATCTGTTTTTTTGTAGGAAAGTCAGTAGTTGTGAAGGCCTAATAAAAGAAAAAAAGGGCTAAATAACCCTCTGGGTTCATTAACATGTTAATGGTGACATGACCTAACCAAAAGGAAGGCTAAATCCTAAGGAAAGAGCTCCCCAGAACAGGTCCCTGGAGGAGTTATTTCATACCATATAGAAAATCCCTTAAGCAAATCCAGTTAGACCTCTTCTTATCTCATCTAGCACTCAGGCGTTGCCTCTTGAATAACCTCAAATGAAATGAACCTCAAATGAAATGTCTTAATAGAAATAGTGGTAAGAAGGCCTATCATAGAAGTAGATGGTAGAACAAGGACAAAGAAAGTGAAATAATTACAAAAGAAAATATATTTGTCACAGGAGGGAACTTGGAGTTGGGTAAGAGGGAAAGGAAATTAAATTAGAAGGTGGGAAGGGAAAATGAAGCTGCTGGCCTGGAAAAGGAAAATCATTCTCCGTGCTCCTATTACACAAATGCATTGCTGGCGTCCTGTATTAAAATATAAATTCAGTGCAGAGGCAATAAGGCTGGCAGAAACGTGCACAGGCAGAAAGCCAAGAGCCTTGGCTGTTGGCAGCCACTCGGGCCCCAGGGCCCCTGCAATGGAATCCAGGTTATATCTGTCACAGACTGAGCCACTGAACACTGTTATTTCTTAGTTAAGGACTCTGGTGTTGGCTTTGAAATTTTCTTCATTTTGGGAGCCATAAACATATAGTGATTTCATAGCAGAGAGGAACAGTATAAATTCTTACTTGCTCTGTCAAGTGAAGAATGATAACATTACTCAAAGAAATGCAGATGGTGGGAGACAAAGGCTTTCTCCAACAAACTGCATTGTTTCTCAAGGCTGTTTATGTTTTGGAAGAATGTTTATTGAATCCCTTGTGAGTACTGAGCATAGTGCAGTGAAGAAGAGAAATGTTCTTCTGGGGCTGACAGTATATATATGTAAGCTCATAAATGAACAAGTTAATTCCATATAGAGATAAAAATGTAATGCAGGAGATAACCAAGGGGATGTAAGACAATAACCAGAGGAAAGGTGTGAGGTGAGGTTAACTTAACAGAGTGTTCATCAAAGGCTACTTTGATAAGGTGGTATGTTGCCAAGACTGAAAAAGAGGTAGCCACTGTACATTCAAGGTAACAGGAGTAGCAAGTACAAAGGTCCTAAGGCAGGACAGACACTGGTGGGACGAATTCAGAGAGCAGCATTGAAACATATAGATCACCATATGTAAAACAGATAGCCAGTGGGACTTTGCTGTTTGAGGGAACAGGGAGCTCAAATCTGGTGCTCTGTAACCTAGAGGGGTGTAATGGGGTGGGATGTGGGAGGGAGATTCAAAAGGGAGGGGACATATGCATACCTATGGCTGATTCATGGTGATATATGGCAGAAACCAACACAATATGGTAAATCAATTATCCTCCAAATAAAAATAAATTAATTTTAAAAAGAAAGCAAATGTGTGTATATATATACTGGCTATTCCAGTAACCAAAAAGAGATCAGTAAAGCTAGAATCTAGAAAGCAAGGGTGAAAGATATGGAAGGAGACATGGACAGAGGTGGGTAGGAATCATCATGCAGGATCTCACAGTCTGTGGTCAGAGGTCCTATATTTATTCTAAAAGAAATAGGAAGCCCCTGAGAAGACAAGAAAGGGGCTGTAGCAATTGATTTCAGACTTTAATGATCACATTGGCCCCTCTGTGTAGAATGTATTGCAGGAGCAGAAATGGGAATAGGCTATAATGGGAATAGGCTTATAATGGCTATAATACAATAGCCATCATAAGGCTATTGTAGTGGTTCAGGCAAGAAATTTTGGAGACTCTAGATTATGGTGAGGGAATTGGAAAAGGAAGGAGGGAAAGAGTACACTGACATGGAAGGATAATGTCTGCAGTGTCCTGAGTAGGAGGAGGAAGTGATACCTTCACACATTCCTGAGGGGTCACCTCATGAGGACAGGGTTGGCTCCTATAGCTTCACAATTAGGAAACACCTCACTTACTTAAAGACTACATCTTCAAGAGTCTAATTCATAACATAAAATGTTAAAAAAAATCTTTGAACAAATTTATTTAAATTGTTATGTATTACTTGTAATAGAGGCAGTCATTTCAAGACTATTTGTTTTTATCTCATGAACAACTTTATTTTTCCTTTTTCTTAACTGTGATTGTTTCGTTTGCCAACCCATGACAGATCAGATTCAGTACCCCAGAAGCTGGCAGATAGTCTTTCTAAAGCCTGGTAAAGTGATAGAAATAACAAAAGACAATTGCTATTAGGGCAAAGAAGGTGGAGATTCAGATACTTATACTTACATATCCACATTCACAAATAAACAAGCAAACAAACATTTGAAATAAGTATGCAGAAATATTTTAAAGCGGAATTACTCAACAAAATGGTCCCATAGGCCACAGTCACCTTTGAAGGCATGCAGGAACACCCACAGTCTTACCTGGGTGTTCACATCAAGGATAACTTTCTATCACAAGACATCTCTAAACCATGGACACCTCTCCTACGTGTTCCCATAATGCTTCTTGCTTCCCTTCCTCAGGGTGCTTACTATCCTGTTTTCTCTTTCTGTATTTGCTACCTCAAGATAGGGAATGCTTTGAGGACAGCTTTTTAATGCCCTTCTCATCCCAGATGGCTTAGCAGATAAAAAATCCACCTGCCAATGCAGGAGATGTAGGAAACACGGGTTCGATCCCTGGGTGGGGAAGATCCCCCGCAATAGAAAATGGCAACCCACTCCAGTACTCTTGCCTGGAAAATTCCATGGAGAGAGGAGCCTGGAGGGCTACAGTCCATGGGATCACAAAGCTTCGGACACGACTGAGCACACAGGCATGCATCTTTGTTATCTCCTAGGCCTGTGAGATTCTCATGGAATCTGTGTGTGGGAAGAACCACAGAGCAGCAGCTGTTAATTTACCTACAGGAGAGACAGCCTGCAGCCCAGAAACTCAGCAGCTGCTCTATCAGTAGCCAAAGCATTCCCAAGCTTTAGAGGTTTGTATAGGCACAGCATAGGCTGCTTACTTATTTATTTATTTTAACAGATGGACAGAAAGTTTTAAACCACTGCTTGTTGGCAGAGTAACAAAGGTGGGCTCAGGCAACAGGGCTGATATAATTATAGTGTTGGTTATGCCTGATGTGTTTTATTCTGATGTGCATATTTTGTGTTCCATACATATTTAAAGATTTAATTAAATGCTTTATTATAGGGAACACAGTGCCAAATATCAGCATCATTACCTTTTTTATTTTTTTCCACAGATACAACCGTTCCCTGATTTGGTTTTGAGATTTCTGTAAAGATCAGGCTTATGTTTACTTGGTCATATTGACATGGTCACTAACACAAATGTCCTGTTTCTTATTACTTGCCAGCTGCCATGGCCGTTTAAGCTCCCTGAAGGCAAAGGATATGTCCTGTCACACTGAGCCTCCAGCTGAGTTCTGGACATGAGTGCTTTGCCCACAGTGGGTTCAGACAGAGAGAGAGGGGACAGCCACGCAGGAACTCTGATGCAGGGTCTTCTGGATGTACAACAAAATGGAGCAAAGCAGGATCAACACCAAAGAGATAATAAATTAATATATAGAGACAGATAGATACATAGATAGACAGGGAAAACCACTGTTTTGATAGTCAAAGATTCCATGACAATCTCAGGCCTCAGGAAATATTCTACAAGGTTTTACATGTGTGTACATATATATGCATATGTGTGTATGTGTGTTTCCCTCAGAAAGCCTTTGCCAGACAGCACAGATGACTAAAGATCTTCATAAATTAAAAACGTGAAAAAACAATCTCATCCTTGCTCTTTTGGAGTGAGTTGGAATACAAAATATTTTCAATGGTCATTACAGAAAAAATTCCTCTTCTGAATCCAAATTTATAAATAATTCAATTTTCATCGAAATTAATTACCTAAATAAATGACTTCCAGAATTTTTTAAGCAACAGAATCCCTCTCTCCTTTTTAAAGAAATCTTGGAACTGTAGGTAGTCTCTCCCTATAGGTGTGAGGAATGAAAGTCAAGCTGTGCTGGTGCCACGAATCTGAAGGGGCATGGCAGTATGGGACGGCGGGGACTTGGGTGTGGGTCAAGAGATGTGCTGGCAGGCTAGTTGGCTGCCTTGCTCAGAGGCAGCTCAGAATCCTCAGGAACTGCCTGGCTTATAAATTACTGCACCAAAAGGACCTATCAATTCTCTCTTGGTAAAGCTTAGGGCTGCAAACTGAGGCCTGACCTGGTCACTACCTGAAAGGATGCTGAGCTTGAAGAGGATGCTGAGTGGGAACTCAGCAGGAATGCAGAGTGATCACGAGCTAGAGGCATTCCTCTTTCCACAGACCCCCTTCACTGGGAACACGTCTATACCCGAGACACCTAGGAATCCAAATCAGGAGTATAAATATTATTAATAAGTTTACCTAGGGCTCCTTCTTCCTTTCCTAGCAGCAGCAATACTTACAGTTGCTTCATATCACCTAGAAAGGGTTATACTTGTCCTGTGTCATTATTATGCTATACACACTTATCCCTCTGTCCTCTCCTTCTCCTTCCACTTGGAGAAGCTGGAAAGAAGATGCTAGAAGAGGAGCCCTGAAGTTTTTTGGGAAAACAGAATGTGAGCCAAAAAGAAGAAAGGGAAGATGCTTTTGTATCACTTTTTGTCATTGTTTATAACTGATTTTTATAAAAAATTTCACATGTGTCAATGAAACTTATGAGCTATAATTAAATTGCTCTAATGCTATCATTACATAGATATCAGATGCACAGGACTAAAGTAAACAAAGAAATAGCTCTTTAATTAAAAATTATTTTAAAAAGAACTTGGTCCAATTTCCTAAATATGATAAATGAAACTATTGAAAATCAATGCTACTGGAGCTTTAGTTTGTAAGATCTTAATCTTAACTAAAACTGTGTTTGCATGTAAGCAACCATCTGGATAATATGCTTAAAATTCAAGGAATTTTTTTTTTAATCTGAATCATTTTGTCTACACAAAGTCAAACACTTAAACACTTAAAAAGTATCTAAATTAATGCATAGTATGCAATCTTGATAGATGACTACTTAAACACAAATTAAAGAAACTTCTAAGTAGAGAAGAGAGAATCTGGATGACAAATTAAATTTGACTGAAGAGATGGGATATCAAGTCAAATTTGAGTTTTTATTTGAAAAGGAGTGTCAGCATGCCTAACTAGCAGCCACGTGACCTTGAGTGAGTTATTTAACCCCAACAAGGCATAATTTTTCAACTACAGAATGGGTATAATTATCATACCACTTTGAGATCTTTCTGGGATTCAGTGTGAATGAAAAAAATGGAAAAGTTCATGGTATACTTAAAGAATTCATGTCCAACTAGAACCTCTGTTACCCCAAAATTCATGTGCTGAAGTCCTAACGCTAAATACCTCAGAACATGACCTTATTTAGAAATAGGGTCTTACAGATATAATTAGTTAAGAGGAGGTCATTAGGATGGGCTCTAACACAATATGATTAGTATCTTCGTAAAAAGGAGTAATTTAATAATTCAACAACAAAACACACCCCAAAATCCAATTAAAAAACAGGCAGAGGATCTGGATAGATATTTCTCTGAAGAAGACATACAGATGACCAAAAAGTGCATAAGAAGATGTTCAACATCACTAATTATCACAGAAATGCAAATTAAAACTACAATAAGACATCATCTCATATCTATCAGAATGGCTATGACCAAAAAGACAACTAATAGAAACTGCTGGCAAGGATATTGGGAAAATGGAACCCTTGCCCTCTGTTGGTGAGAATGTCAACTGGTGCAGCCACTATGGAAAACAATGTGAAGGATCCTCAAAAGAAAAAAACAGATAAAAATAGAACTACCTTATGATTTAGCAATTCTTCTTCTGGGCATTTATCTGAAGAAGACAAAAACATTAATTCAAAAAGATGTACCCACATGTTCATTGCAGCATCACTTACAACAGCCAAGATATGGAAACATCCTACATATCCACTGATAGATAAATCGATAATAGAATACTATTAAGCCACAGAAAATGAACCCTTGCCATTTGAGACAACATGGATGGGCATTATGCTAAGGGAAGTAAGTCAGTGAAAGACACTCACTTATAAAAGTGGAATTAAAAAATCAAACAAGCAAAAGAATAAAAAGTAAGGTTACAGGTAGAACAGAGGCTGGCATGAGGCATTGGTGAAATGGGTGAAGGTGGGGGTCAAGGGTATAAGCTTCCAGTTACAAAATAAGTCACGGGGATGTGAGGTATGGCACGGTGACTATAGATGATAATATTGTATTATATGTTTGAAAGTTGCTAAGAGTAAATCTTAAAACTTCTCATCATAAGAAAAAAAAAAGTTTGTAACTATGTATGGGGATGGCTGCTAACTAGACTTACTGTGCTGATTATTTTCCAGTATATACAAATATCAAATCATAATGATGTGCACCTGAAACTAATATAATGTTGCATGTCAACCAGGCCTCAGCAGAGAAAGGGAGAATGCCATGTGAAAATATAGGGAGAAGACAGCCATCTACAAGCCAGGGGAAGAGACCCAGAACAGCATCTCCCACACGGCCCTCAGAAAGAACCAACCATGCCAGTGTCTTGATCTTAGATTTCCAGGCTTTAAAACTGTGAGATCAAAATTTTCTGCTCTGTAAATCATGCAGTGTGTGGTGTTTTGTTACAGCAACCCTAGCAAAGAAATGACCTTATCTGGAAATAGGGTTTAGAAAATGTAATTAGGATGAAGTCACACTGGATTGGGAAGGGTCATAAATCTTATGATTGGTGTCCTTATGCGAAGACCATGTGAAAACACAGAGACACTGGGAGACACCCAGAGAAGACCACATAACAGAAGTAGAGACTGGAGCAATACAACTGCAAGCAAAGAATACCAATGACTTTAGGCCACCAATAGAAGCTAAGAGAGAAGCAGGAAGATTCATTCCCAGAGCTTCTAGAAGTAACCAAACCTGCCAACTCCTTGATTTTGGACTTCTCAACTTCATAACAGTGAGAGAATAATCTCAGTTGTTTAAAGCCACACAGTTTATGACAATTTGTTACAGCAGCCCTAGGAATCTAATATAGGAAGTGTTACATAAAGTATTCTGTCCACTTACAAAAGACTATGTGAAGCCTTATGATTGGAAATTATGCTTCCACATCTAGTCCAGAATTTAAAATTATCAAATCCAGAAGGAGATTATGTGATTGTTACTAAGAAATGTATGACTGGTGTGATTTCTGAAGCTGGTCATTTCCTAAACTACTGAGCATCTACTGTGCTGGCCAAAAATTTCATTGAGGTTTACCCATAAAATTGTGCAGAAAAACCCAAACAAATGTTTTCACCAACCCAATACCACCATGGAAGGAAAAAGAGGAGGAGGAGAAACATGAAAGGTGAAAAGATTATCAACAAAATCTGTAATGGAAAGTAAAATTAAAGCAAAGATTATATCATAACTACAAAGCTAGTAGTATGTTCTATTTGTGAAATCAATATATTAAAACATGTATTATTATACTGGGTATGAGAAAGGGAAGCCTTTTCTACAGAGGGTTTATTTCCTGGCATAGCTCTTTTTGCTGGTGGCATATCATATGTTTTCAATTTCAGTCCAATTTTCTACAAGAAAAAAAAAGGTATTAATTCTCCAGAAAAACTGAATTGGTCAACTGTAATAGTCTTTTAATCATCAGCTTCAGTAGATTCTCTGCCAAACAGTGGGACAACTGATGCTGTTCTTTTAAAACTTTATAATCCTTTTAGATCTACTTCATTTCAGAGTTTCAGCTTAAAATGTTTAGCTTTCATAAGTCTTAACCACAAGTGTCCAAGGTACTAATTCAAATATGAAGCCATATCTCTGGTTTAATCTTGTTTCCCATTCATCTCCAAGTCCCCATCAATCCAAATGCCATACTTGTTTCAATATGCAGTGATTTTTCCACTACCAAACTAGCCATTAATTTCACTTTCCATTTGACCCCAGATAAATGGGATTGTTGTTGCTGATGTTGTACTGTTTTGTTTTATTCCCTCTGTCCTAAACTTACAGGAAAATAAACTTAAAGGAAATACAGTTGGCCAGATAACAGATTATATATCTTTGGGCAGGATACTTAACTTTCTTGGTCCTCCATTTCTGCACTTATAAAGTGGGAATAAGAATCTCATGGGATTGTTGTAACATTAATAAGGCTAATGTCTAGAACATATAAATAGCTCAACAATGTTAATTCTATCTCCACTTGCCTTAATGTTATGCATTGAATAATTAAAATTGGATCAATAAGAACAGAATCACACCATGATTTCTGCCCATGTACTCATACTCATGGACTCCACCTAGTTACATGCTAATTTAAATTATCTACGTATTTTTTTTTAATCCAAAACCTCCAACTGTGTACTGGAACCCATCTTTTTCTAAAGATATTATTCTAGAAGTCTATCATCCTTCTCCTATATTTTTAATTGTTCCTTTCCAACTATACAAAAATATTTCTCTATTTCTTCCATCTTAACCTACCACAACAAAACAACGTCTATGGTCCTTAATATACCCATTTTTCTGCTCATTTTTACAGCAAAACTTCTTAAAATTATTATTTATGCTTAGTGATTTCAGATCTTCACCCATTCTCTCTTTGACTCACTCCAGTCTGTCAGATCCACATAACCTCACAAAAGCTGATTTGGTAGCATTAATCACTCTTGTCTATTTTGATGCATTTTCTTTACTTAGCTTCTAGGACAAAAAAAAAATATCTTGGTTTACTTCTCATCTTCTCATCTCACATGTAATACTTTGTTAGTCTCCATAGACTTTCCTTCTCTTCTTCCAGACCTCTTCATGTTGGAATGGCCCGTGGATGAATCTTTGGTATCATTTGCTTTCCTCTATTTTCATTCAATTCCTTTTATTCTCAGTCTCACAACTTTAAAATTTTACCTTTTAAATCACAATTCAGTTCAGTGCAGTCAGTCGTGTCCGACTCTTTGCGACCCCATGGACTGCAGCATGCTAGGCTTCCCTGTCCAACACCAACTCACAGAGCTTGCTCAAACTCAAGTCCATCAGCTCGGTGATGCCATCCAACCATCTCATCCTCTGTTGTCCCCTTCTCCTCCCGCCTTAAATCTTTCCCAGCATCAAGGTCTTTTCCAATGAGTCAGTTCTTCATATCAGGTGGCCAGTATAAGACTCCCAAATTTGTATCTCCACATATATCTCTCTACTGAATGTCAAACTGGCCCCTTGAAATCTATACATGGCTGTCTAAGAGTCACCTCAAATTGAACATGTTCAAAAGTAAACATCATCCTTCTATTGTGCCCCCCCAAAAAACTATTCTACATTGCTTTTTTTCCATCTTAATTGATGGCAAATCTATTCTTCTAGGTATTCAGATCAAACTCCAGGAATCTTCTCTGTTCATTTTCTTTCACAATCCACAACCAAATGATTAAGAAATCTGTCTGTAATGTATTAAGACTTCCACTTCTATTGTTACTTGTCTGGTCTGTGCCTAGATCAGACTGATGTCTGATCCAAACTACAACAGCCTCTTATTTGTTCTCCCAGTTTCTCCATACTCTTCTACAATCTACTCTTAATATGTCAGCCAGAATGACCTCTTTATAATATAAAGTCAGATCATTCTGAGTATCATTGCTGCTGTCTCTCTATACTCTTTCCAGGTTTACCATACTCCCAGTTGCTCCTTAAATACAGGAGGCAGAATCTAATCTTAATGCCTTTGTACTTGCTCTTTAATGTGTTCTTTCCTCAGATACTTATTTCATTTCCTTCAGGTCTTTGCCCCAAAGAGGACAATACTATTATTTTCATGTTCCACAAGACACTGAAGCCTCCATACTCTGTTAATTTCTCATCTTTTTATACCCTTTAAGTTTAGTCATTTATTGTGTTTATCATCTAGAGTGTATCCCATACACTAAGATATAAGCTCCAAGAGGATAAAGATGTTTTTGTTTTTTATATTTTATTGATGCATTTTGGGGGCTTAGAGTGGTAACCTAACCAACACAGAGTAATGACTCAATAAATATCTGTTAAGTGAATAAATAAATTAGATAAAATTGCATAAGCATGAAGAAAGAACATTCTGGAATATAATTCCTCTTTAAAATCCTGAACACACTGACAGCAATAATAGTCATTTTAAATACATATATCATTAGGAAAATACCAGTTTCTATGTTCAATAAACCACCAAATAAACCCTAACTTTATGGAAAAGGCTCTTGAATGAATTCAATAGTATCTCAGGTAAAGACTACTGAACAGAGTATGCAAAAGTAAAATATTTATGAAAATCAGGAATAAAATTCTCAAGGAGTCAAGAACTGTACCAGAGCAATATACAGAGATTCTAGCTTTCTATACAATAAAACTGGGCTAAAAAAATTGTGCAAAAATGAAAACTGATTCTGCATTCACCTCACAAGAGCTGTGCAAATAACAAAGTACTGGAGAAGACAAAGCTAAACATCTCTAGGGTATCTGTAAGCCAATTGATTTCCAGTGGATTCTCTGGGTCCCTTGTTCTTCCTTCTCATGTTTACTACCTAATATTTGACCACATTCCTGTTTGTTGGCAACTCTCACAAGAGAGCAAACTAGAGAAAGCAAAAATGAAACATAAGCAAATTAAAGTTACTCCTGATTGCAGTCAAGAGGACTATGCCAGGATCTTTGGACAGAGAGAAAACACGTGTACTATTTAAAAGTAATCACAAATTAGCCTCCAACTAATAAAAATAAATAAAAAAAAAAAGAAAGTGGTCAAATAGGAGATAGTAAGGGTGAATATCCACATTTTTGGAATCAGTGAAAAAATAAAAAATAAAAGTAATCCAGAACCTACTTTCATATTTCTATAGTAAGCACAGTCATATACTTTCTTCATAAAGTTTTGGTGATAAATTGTCAGTCCTCTATATCCAAATTCCAATTTATATCACATATCATCTGCCCATGTGGCCAAGTGTTGGCAGTCATCTCATTTTAAGCATTAATCCTTTCTTTCAATTTTGCAAGGATAAAACCCTGAAGAAATATCTAGAGAGTAATTAACATATGGCTAAAACTATCATGGGAAATTTAAAAAGATGGATTAAAGGGTACAACTGGGACCTGTTGTAAATGAGAGGAAGCTGATTGGTAAAAATATGGTTTTTTCTTCACTTGCACAGGAAAAAAAATCTTATAAAGACTTTATTTAAAAATCACAGCAAGGCATCTCTTAGAGAAAGAAGATTTCTTCCTCTCATATAGATTAAAGTGTAGAAAATGCTTTGTTCTTTGTAAACTTACTTGAATGTAAATTCTATAGGAAGAGAGAACTTTGTTTCATTCATTACTGACAGTGCCTATAATAGGCAATTAAGGAATATTTTTGAATGAATACAGCATATACAGATTGACACAGGATTGGAGTCCATCTGCCTCTGCAGATGACTACACACAATTAAAAAAGAGAGATGAATAATAAACCAGAATCTTATTGGTACCTAGATAAAATGCAACACAACTACTCCTAGACTTCCTAAACCATCCTTTATAAGCTTCCAGAATTTTGTTGAAGAACTCACAGTCTATATACAATACATATATTAGTATATACATACACATGAAATGATTAATATTTTTGAACCAGGAAAACATGATTTCTGGAAGTGACCAAAATAGACACTTCATGATAAAAAAGGAAAAAAAAAGGTGAAAGTTTGGGGAAAAAATTCAACTCCTCTATGTAAAAAACTAGCTCTAAAATTTATTTTCTTTTTTAAAAAACTATTATCTATAAAAAATTACATTAACAATTCTTGTTATTTAGATTCTAGGATAATATACAAGTAGCAAATAAGTAAGCATAACTTATTTATTAATAATATAGCAAATACCAAAGTAAACCAATTTTTTATAATTCTTAATATAAAAACACTATAGATGTGGACTATAAACCACACAGACTGATGTAGGTATCTATAGATCTTGTCCTCAGGCTAATTATAAATTAATTCAAAGTTTGCCAAAGTAAATAGCACAGCCTACATACTTCTTTGCCAACTGTCTCATAAAGCAGATGGAACCAACAATCTAAAGGACAATGAAAAATAATTTTTTAACAAATCCATTTTCTTCTGAAGTTGTATGAGAAGGTCATTTTCTCACTACCTTACCTTTTGATGTCCTTATCATTTTTTTGATTGTACACATTTTTATGTATTATGCTCTATTTATGCATTCTTCAATAGCATCTTTATTTATGACTTTGTGAATCAACATCTTTGTGATAGGAGGCGAAAGTCACTTAGCTAATTACACATGCTTGATAAGGTGCATAATAATAACCACTGCAGTATTGTACATTAGTTGAAAGCATGTAAATTACTGCAGTTATTCTCATTTGGGAAAAAAACAAGAGACTTTTTTTTTTTAGTTATTTAAAACATCTTTGTTGCCTCCATATCCAACTTCTTAAGTATACTATTCTTTCAGCCCAAATCATGACATTAATAATAAAATGAAGGTTAAATCCCATTCTATGAGTTTAACCAAAGAAATAAGAACAAAAACACAACAAAACTCCAATTAATGCAAGTACTTCTGATCTGCAATTGAGGACTTGGTTATATGAAGCTTCTTCCAGATAATGCAACCGCAGTAAAAACGAACAGTTTAGACACTCCCCACCCGACATGGATGTTGTAATGAAATCTGACTTGGTCCAGCCAGGAGATTAGAAGTGCATACAGAGAGAGAATGTACAGCACTAGAATATTAATATGACTTCTGTATGAAGATTGAAAATTTTGCAAAGTTATAATAAGGTCAAAATAACACTTAGATAATTTACTGCCAGAGAAAATCATACTCTCCTATGAGTGATTTACTGGATGTTATATAAAAACAGAGTGTGGACAAGCTACATTCAGATGCAAGCTTGCAGCTGTCAGTGTCTACATTTGCTCAATCTGGCTAGAGGATGATTTGAAGGTTGATTTAATTGTAGCTTCTGAATCATGTTCTTCCCTATGTTTTAAATTGTTTAACATAAATATAAAAATGTTAAAGCAATTTTAAGACTGTAAATATTTAGTATAAAAAGCTGCAAATCCCTTTTTTTTTTTTTCTGGAGGAGTGACTGAAAATAGGAAGACTGTCTGGGAAAATATACCATTACTTAATAATGGTGATTACCCAATAGTTACAGCAAATTTATCCTTATATTAGAAAGTTCATAGGGTCTTCAGAGAGAACTAAGGATAAACAAACAAAAACTAGGTTTTTGTGACCTGTTTCCTGTAAAAGAAACAGCAATCTATTATCTGTTAAAAAAAAAAAAGGTTCGGAAATCAAAGTTGACCGGCTGGGAAGGCAACATCTTTGGTTACCCTGCCGGCAATGTAATTACCTAAGTATCTTCTCTATACCCAAACTCAAAGCAGAGATTCAATCCTGCCATGCTACCAGCACCAACACAAGGCTCCACCAAGGAGCTTTGTCAACGTCTAATCAGCTAGAGCTCTCCTCAACCATCTTCCTACTCTTTGACAGGCTTCATTAAATTCCAAGTATCACCTAGCCATTCACTTCCAGCATCAGCAAATCATCCTTAGGGAGAATATCTTGTTCCTCCTCTGCAAGCTGTTTCCCCCATTTTTCCATTTCCACTTTTATACATACCTCCTTTTCTACATATTTTCTTGCCGGGTTTTCTGGCACATTCCTTGGATATTCTTTTTACTGAAAAATGAATAGAAGACTAGAAAATAACATGGCGCTCCATCACAGACCGCCGGAACATGCAACACCACTATCTAACTTAATATGCTCCTGCATTTACGGAGTGCGAGAGAGCCCCAACTTTGCTGAGTCTGCACATGCAATGGAGAGATGTTGATGCATCTTCTCAGAAGTCATTTGGTAAGAAATGGAAATTAGGAACCCATTTCTACCTAAATATACGTGCTGCAGAGGAAAGAAAAGAAGTAGGCACAGGGAAAAATAAGAACAGATACACTAACACACATAAACAGAGCAGCATGCACGCATGTAAAATATGTCTACATGCCAACAGGAAAAGCCATGCATGCTATCAGGACGTACGAATAATATCGTTAGAATAGAAAAGAGAATTATAAATATATCTCCCTGTTTTTCCTGTAGTAAACTCACCATCCTCAGTTGGGACGTATATGTTTAAATACAGGCAATCTTCACTCTGGTCTTGTACATACGATGAAACCACATCCAAGTTATTAGTAAACCACACAGGAAGCATGACTTCCGGCAATCTGCCATCAATGATATTCTGGGGGCAGACAGGAGCAAACTGAGTGGCATTCCTGATGTCTGACCAAGGAGATGGTGGTTCCGGAGGCTGAAAACGATGTTCCCCGGTTGGCGGGGCTGCATACGGAACACCAAGAAACTGAATAACAGGACCCAAAATTTCATTATTGAGTTCTTTCTTGATCCCTCTTATTTTGCCGAAGTTGGTAGTCACCAGTGGGTCTGCATCATCCAATTTTTGTGAGAGCACGTGGGCAGCGTGAAGTAAACAGCTTAACACACAAAGAGTCAATGAGGCACCCAACCCCCTGTGTACCAAGCAGGCCATGACTGCTCTCCAAACATAATCTGGCCACGTGCATCTGGGCACTGCCATGGTCCCACATTAGTTGTGTGGTTACAGTGAGTCAAGGTATTTGTATCCACTTGAGAAAAACTGTATATTGGTAGACTACACCTTTATTTCTTAAAGGCAAGTTTGTCAAGAAAAGCTCAGAAAGCTCTTCGTGCAGCCAGTATCTCCATTGATCTCACATGTATTGAAGTAGCATCTTCAATCATCACTATTGATCAGACCATATCCTATTGACTATTCTGTTTTCCATAGTAGCAATGTGGTGAGAGTGGCCATTGACTGTACATTTCCCGCTTACAAATCAAATCCAGTTAGCTGCAGGTCTATATCCTAGAGAAAATGAAAATAAATAATTAGTACAAACAAGCTAAAATAGACAGAGTGATAACTAGACGTTTTACAAGCTACAGAAATACATTAATAGTGGCTAGAGTCAGGTGAGTTAAATGCTACCACAGGAAAATTATGGTTTGATGTAAGATGACAGGTAAAATAACCGAGTATTAGAATATTGAGAAACTTGCCTCCTGACTTTATACACATTTAAGAGAAAGCAGTTCTTGTCAAAATATACAGTGTCAGGAGCATTTCACAATACAGTTTTTTTTTTAAATACTGAAGGCTTATGTTAAATTTTTCCTTTATTGAAGATCTTCAATCATTTTATGGAACCACAGTATTAATCATCAAATATACTAAAAATTAGAACTCAATAGCTGAAAACCTTTTTTAAAAAATATTGGTATGGAATTAGTGGAATATAAACAAACTTTGCAAGCATGACTGTGTTTATTAAACAAACAAACAAAGTATGGGCCCAATCCTATGTTATACAGATAAGACAAAAATAATGTTAGAACAAGAAAACCAATGCTAGCTCAACTATAATCATTAAAGTGCAACTAATTCTGAAAGAGATGGAAATACCAGACCACCTGACCTGCCTCTTGAGAAATCTGTATGCAGGTAAGGAAGCAACAGTTAGAACTGTACATGGAACAACAGATTGGTTCCAAATTAGAAAAGGAGTATGTCAAGGCTATATATTGTCACCCTGCTTATTTAACTTATATGCAGAGTACATCATGAGAAATGCTGGGCTGGAGGAAGCACAAGCTGGAATCAAGATTGCTGGGAGAGATATCAATAACCTCAGATATGCAGATGACACCACCTTTATGGCAGAAAGTGAACAAGAACTAAACGGCCTCTTGATGACAGTGAAAGAGGAGAGTGAAAAAGTTGGCTTAAACTCAACATTCAGAAAACTAAGATCATGGTATCCGATCCCATCACTTCATGGCAAATAGATGGGGAAGCAGTGGAAACAGTGGCTGACTTTATATTGGGGGAAACTGAACTGAACTGAACCTTATGAGGTCAGTCTCCCTGCTATTTCTCAAAAGTATACACAAAGTCACCCCCTACAGTTCCATCACCTTTAATTAAGATTCAAGAATTTAAAAGACAAATTACCATTAGATACAACTTGGAAAAGAGACAGAGTTGGCATCAATATTTTGCAGATTTTTTTAACTGTCTAGGTATATATTTTAGGGCTTCCCTGGTGGCTCAATAGTAAAGAACCCACCTGCCAATGCAGGAGACATAAACTATGTATTTTAGATATCAGTAAATTTGCAATAGGAAAATGAATTTTTGAGTCGAAGTCAATATATTTTAAATTAGAAATGTTCTTACTATCTTACAGAGATCAAAGGAACAATACAAAAAAGAATGTGGTAATTTAAAAGCACAACCATACCTAATCATAACATCCTGCATATTGACACTAATCAAACATCTAACACTCTTTACCCAATCCAACTTAAGACACATCAGGATAAAATGTAACATTCAGTGCCACGCATTTCACAGTGTACCTTACATTAACTGCGAAATACGAAACAACTCGGCAAATTTGTCTCTTCTTGTTCAAGCAACTTTTTAGAGGGCTTAGTTTGAAAACAACAGTGTTGATTTGTATTATAGATGGTTCTATCCTGACATTTTATGGGAAGATTCCTGAAGAAGTGCTGGTCTGGCAGTGAGGCTGCTCTGACTTTGTGTTATTGAAAAGGAGATTGTAAAAACTATATAGGGCAGTGGGAGATTTGATTCAAGCCTGGTGTTCCTTTAGCTCTGAACAATTCATCACAGATGGCAATAAGGAGATAAACGTCTTTCTTCAAGAATATCTCAGTCTGTGTTAATTCGCATACCTTCGCTGTGAAAGCATATTAACATACAAAAGTCAGGCTTAGACCACCCCTTTTCTGTGCCAGAACTCCAGCATCTGTTGAAGATTTAGCTACACAAACTCATTTCTGTTGAGTAATGTAATGCGCATTCTTGCACAGAATTGTGGTGGGCCACAATTAGGTCTTTTCTGATCACATTTTGGTCTTAAACAACTAGGTCTTTCCTGGTCACATTCTGGTGTTAAAATGCAGCATTTTTGACAACTAAAGTAGAGAACCTGTGGTGAGGATTTAAAAGGCTTCAACACCATTTTATACAGCCTAATCTTCAATAGTGATTGCTAAATATTCTTTACACACTTACACGCTCATCAATAATAAAAAAGTACTTGTTTGGTTCCTAACAAAATAACTTTCATTTTCGTGCTCACAAATACTTAATTGTGTTAAAAGGACTGCTGTTTCCCACTAATATCCTACTTTAACACAAATTGTCGAGGATGAGAATTCTGCATGCCATGGTAAGTTTTCAAATTCTAACGTTTAGCTTTTGAGGTTACAAAAACATCCCATTATACATGGGCTGACCTGTACAGAGAATTATAGTATGGACCCTAAATAGTTTTCAGAGGTCACTGTTATAATAACAACAGTTGCTCAAGTGCAGTGTACAAATATAGCTAGTTTAAATAACTGAAAATTTAAATGTGTGTGTGTTAGCTGCTCGCTCATGTCCAACTCTTTGTGACCACATGGACTGTGTAGCCAGCCAGGCCTCTCTGTCCATGGGATTCTCCAGGCAAGAATACTGGAGTAGGTACCCATTCCTTTCTCCAGGGGATCTTCCTGCCCCAGGAATGGAACCCGGGTCTCCTGCATTGCAGGCAGATTCTTTACTGCCTGAGCCACAAGAGAAGCCGTGTGTGTGTGTGTGTGTGTGTGTGTGTGTGTGTGCATGTGCGTCAAAATAAAGACCCTCAAATTTGTTGTTAGGAAATTTTTCCTATTTATTGGCGTTTCCTTGGTATATGCCAAACCCTTAGCTTTTAAACCTTTACACCTCACTTACAACAACCCTATAAACTGGGTTCAACAGTTATTCCCTTTTTACTCACAAGGTACTGAGACTTAAAGAGGTTAAGTGCCTTGGCCCTGGTTCTCAGCTAATCAATAGCGATCCAGGAGTCCACTGGCATCTAATTTAAAGGCCATCCTCTTGATCATTGCACTAGATACAGTCTCTAACTTCACAATTAACACTTTTTAAAAAATTGATCCTAGTGCCTTTAAAATTGAATTGTAAAAGTGTTTTATGTTCCTTCAGAAGATAGACTCTAGGTAAATTCTCTGACAATTTCATAGAAACAGAAATTTAAATGCTTACCCTGCTCTTATTGGAACTTTGAATTTTGTTACCTTTGTTTTATGACTTTTTAAAAAGTTATTTAACCAGAGGATAATCACTTTACAGTATTGTGCTGGGTTTTGCCATTCATCAATATGAAGCGGTCACAGGCAGACACGTGTTCCTCCCATCCTGAACCCCCTCCCGCCTTCCTCCTCACCCTACCCCTATGGGTTGTCCCAGAGCACTGGCTTTAAGTGCCCGGCTTCATGCGTTCACTTGCACTGGCCATCTATTTTTACATATGGTAATGTACATGTTTCAGTGCTAGTCTCTCAAATCATCCCACCCCTGCCTTCTCCCAGTGAGTCCAAAAATCTGTTCTTTACAGCTTGTCTCCTTGGCTGCTCCGCATGTAGTACCGTTATTACCGTCTTTCTAAATTCCATACATATGAGCTAATATACAGTATTTTTCTTTCTCTTTCTGACTCACTTCACTCTGTATAATATGCTCCAGTTTCATCCACATCATTAGAACTGATTCAAATTTGTTCCTTTTTATAACTGAGTAATATTCCATTGTGTATATGAACCACAACTTCCTTATCCATTCATCTGCCGATGGACCTCTAAGTTGCTTTCATTATAAATATTATAAATAGCTATTGTAAATAGCACTGCAATGAACATTGGGGTAGATGTGTCTCTTTCAATTCTGGTTTCCTCAGGATGTTTACCCAGCAGTGGGACTATTGGGTCATATGGCAGTTCTATTCCCAGTTTTTTAAGGAATCTCAGCACTGTTCTCCATAGTGGCTGGATCGGTTTGCAAGATTTTTTTACCTTTTTTTCACCTTTTTTAACTTTACTTTGAATGGGTGTTCATATGCATTTATACAAGATCATTTTTAAATAATGATGAGTAACCAAAAAAAGCCCAACTTTATAATAGCACAAATGTCCATTAACAGATATTGACAGATGAACTATGATATATTCACAAATTAAAATTCTACACTTCAGTGAAAATAAAGAACATAGACCTAAATATAAAATGAATAAAATCTTAAAATTTTGAACAAATATTAGGTACAGTAAACTGTTATTTAAATAAAGCTTAAAATATGTGAAACAAAACTACACATTATTCACAGATGGATGAATATGTAATAACACATGATTTATTATCCATGGGTAAGAAGGGTATGAAATTATTTCTAGCAATTAGTTAATGCTATTAATTGATTAATTGGAACTATGAATGATAACCTGTGATGGGGTCTTAAGAGACCACAATTAACTACAGCAAGTTCTAAAAATCTAAGATTTGATCGTGCTGGGTGACGTGTATACACACACGTGTGTGCACACACACCTTTGTTGAGGAATTCTCTGCAATTTTCTGCATGTTTGAAGTATTTCATAATAAATGTTGATTATACATTAAAATAATGAGGTCAGAAAAATCCTTATTCAGCAGTCCAGGCAAGTAGATGAACTTATCAATCCACACTGGACTACCTTTCCTCTGACTTTTTAGTAGGTGAAGATACTAGCTCACAAATTCCTCTGTTAATCCTCTTTGGGTTAAGGCATGTGCAATTCCAAAGGGACTGCAAAAATAAAGCAAAATAAAACAACAAAAATAACAAAACAAAATAAATAACATTTAAACAAAACATCAAAAATGGGAATATATTATCTCCTGTATTAATTTATCATAACACCTGGTCCATTAACTAGTTTGTTCCTGAGTGGCCCATATCAGAGATGACGCTAGAA